TTTATTTTATTTGGTTAAACATGTTAATCACACACGCACACATATTAGTTGTATATTGGTCAAGTATGAAAAAAGTCCGTTTATTTTTTTTTATTAGACTTTTCTTGTATCCGAAAAAGGGGGTTCTTTTTTAGGCTTAATGTATGTAATAATTGTTCACAGATTTGTTGATTCCGGGCGATTTCAACTAAACTAATGTTTGTTTGTTTGGTTTTTTAATTTTCTGTGGTTTTACTATAATAAATGGTGTGTAAATGTGTGTTAGTGTATTCAAAAGCGCTTAGAACCAACAGGTGTTTGGACAATTTTTACATTTATTAAGTCTACAAAAGAAAACTCTTGTACTCATTCAAGAACAAATGTTCTATAGAATTCATCCGACAAGTTGTGTCTTTCTATATTTTAATGTAATTTCCAATCTTCGAATGTGCATTTGCATATCCAAATTAAAATTGTGGATAAACAGTCCAAAGTTCGAGAAGCCGAATTTTAATATCATCCCCATTTTTCTTCCTCCACACACTCTTTCGCCCCCTCTCTTGTTATATGGATGGTACTCCCACAGAATGAAAGAAAAAATGAACAAATGGGAAACGTTTCTCAATCTAACATGTTTCCTTTTATTATACTTTCACCAAAGAATGAAAAATGGAGAAAAAAAGAAATTCTAATATTTTTATTTTTGTTGTTGCTTTATTTTCATTGGTTAATCATGTTTCACGTGCATTCGCTTTGTTAAACGAACATTAGTACAATTTATTGTGTTTCGAATTCAAGGAGAGACGACACGTCCTTTCGAAGTTCCAAGAAATCAACAGATTCCAAGGTTAACTTAAAACCATAAATATTGCATTATGTATGTAAGGATATAATAATTCTAGTTTGACTATGTGGGATTCAGATGATAACTTATATTCGTAAGTGTGTGTATGTCTAGTGGACATTATGTTGGTTTTTTGCATGTTGATTTGGGAACATTTTTACGTACACACCGTTTGTTTTAGATAAACATTAGTTTCTTTAAGTATGTATACAATAAAGGTTGTTGATGTAATACAATGTTTTTGGCGTGTGTCTATTGTTGGTAATATTGTTATTACGAAGTACTTCTGACGTAAAGAATTATTTTTTTATTTTTAATTAGGATGGCATTTGTAAAATCAAAGTTATATCGGCCAGAAAATAAAGGGAAAATTGGTTTCAAAAGACATGTTGTTGGTTCCAGATCTCACGCAAGGTAAGCGAAAATGAATTTGTTGCATTTATCTCACGCAAAATAAGCGAAAACGCATTTATCTCACGCAAAATAAGCGAAAACGCATTTATCTCACGCAAGATAAGCGAAAACGCATTTATCTCACGCAAGATAAGCGAAAATGAATTTACGATTGCAAATGTAAACACTATGAGGAAGACACACATAAATATGGCAAACCATTATCCTCGCCACACTAAATAGTAATTCGAAAGCAAAAAATATGGAAAATATATAAACATATGGAATTTTTCTTGATTTAAAAATGTAAAGAACTTTTTAACATTGAATTTTTAACATTGAATTTTAATAAAAGCAGTATTTTACATTGCAGTTTTTAAATTCGAACCCATAAGTAACTCTGAAAATCTTGCAATGCTTATTTTGTCTCCACTTTTTATCTCTCTTTATATTTTTCTAGACATGTTGATGAGAAATGTTAGTATGGAAGCACAATATTGACGTAATTAGTTAGAGGAATTCATTTTTTTATACATATATGATTTAAGAATAACTATTTAGGACAGAAATACACGTTAAACAATGTTAGCACGAGCTTAGAACACCAAAAAAAAAAAAAAAAAGAACCAAGAAAAAATAGGAAGGAACTACAAGATTTTCATTCTGAGGGTATCATACATTGCAGTAACCAGATCATATTTATTTTAAAAACAAATTCTAACAAGTGAATGCAGAATTAACGAAAATATATTTATCCTGTTGTTACTCGGTTTAGAGTCGTCTTGTGTCGACAAACAAAAACTAAAAATGTTGAATTGTTTCAGAAAACGGACAAACAAGTGAGTGAGTGAAACAAAACGAGATATAAATTTTGATTCTATCTTAGAAAGTTTTTTTTGTAGAGAGAAAATAGTACCTGAAAGAAAATACAAATTTAGGAATTTTAGAGAGTCTCTGTAAAAAAAAAACAAAAACAAAAAAAAAAAAAAACACAAAACAAACAAAAAGAGAAGCAAATGTTGAACTTACTTTGTTGGTGAGTTAAAGAGTATGCATTGCCTAAGCCCTGTGCATCTGTTAAGAGAGCGCTAATTTTAGCGTCCAACCTCAGCACGAAGTAAAAAGAGAGACCTGGTCTCTTGGGATTCACAGCACGCATGCTCCCAGATAATTTTTGTGCATGCCCAAAAGCTGAAAAAAACGTTGCAGTCATACCGTGTTATTAAACGTATAAACACCTAGCTGTTTCTATGGAAGATTCTAGGAAGGGGTCATCAGTATTAAACTGAGATTATGGCATCAATTGGATATAATCCTGGTTTTCTTGGGATTGTTATTAATTATTGAAGATAAAAAAAAATAAAAAGTACTGGTGTAGTAATTATACTTGTGTATAGTGCGAGATTTTAAGATCAGTTTTTACTGAGGGTCTCACTATACACAGGTAATTCTTTAAGAGGTTAAAAGTCATACATTTTCGATGTCAGGTTGTAACACACACAGGTAAGTTATCTGTAGTAGCTAAAATCTATGCAAAAAAGGCAGGAGTCGGTTTGTATAATACGTCGACTTATACCCGAATATATATGATACTAAAAAGATTAAAAAAAAGTGTTTACTTACACATATTCTGAAACTTCACTGTTGTCATAAGAATAGCTTCGCTTTGGTCTCCAGATTTCTTCACTTGAACCTTAATAAAAAAAAAATAAGCAAATATTAATATTCACTGTGATTTGTAGGTATATATAATATAAACGATTGTTACGCTTTTTTACTTAGACTAAAAGTGATCCCAGACCCTTCAGAAATTGAATCAGTTACGCTTTCTAACCGAGAAACATGCATAATATTATGAAATAGAAAACTGACAAAAGTTGGAGTGAAGAAAAAAAAGGTGAGGAGAGAAGACATGAAATGAGAAATGTCAGAGGCAAGAATGCCAGGGGAAAAAAACGGAAAGAAAAGCAAGTGAAAGAAATCTCTCCCTTATATATATATATATATATATATATATATATATATATATATATATATATATATATATTAATTCTTCCCTCCACCCTTTCTTTCTTTCCGTCTTTCACTCTCTCCTTTCCTCTACCGTCCCCATGTCTCTCTCATTCTTTTCCTCTTCCCCCAACCCAAAAGAAAAACATACATTTTTCTTTCTTGACCTTTTTTCTTTCTTCTTTTTTAATATTAAAACTTTTTCTTTTTTTTTTCCCCTTTTCCTTGAACTCCACTTATTAATGAGAATTATAACCAGATGAATTTTTAAGGATTCTGCATTCATTATATATATATATATATATATATATATATATATATATGACAAAAGACGATGTACATTAGAACTTGTTCTAATGTACATCATCTTTGTCATGTTGTATTTATAATGTTATATTTATGGATATATATATATATATATATATATATATATATATATGCCAGAGTGATATCAGAAATCTTGAAATCAGTTATATTGACTAGCTAAGAGACAAAAGACAACAACGAAAGGCGTCAAAAAATATTCCTGTTGCTCTGTCCTGAGATCCTCGCTGTTGCACAGGATGTTGACCTGTATGCAGGTCCCTAGCGGGACACGATCCAAACATAAAAACTGAATGATGTTGTCGCATCTTCATACGTCGAATTCGTTGGGAGAATCGGTTATATATAATACTCGAAGTTATTGTTATATAAAACAAATAATCCGCATTAAATCTCTTTAACACCAAAGGAGATATTTTAACGTGTGCATAAAGTATTAATATGCATATAAAAGTGCGCATATTTGATACATCCATTTACGGTGCAGTTGAGCCTCTACAAGACCATAGTGCACATAGCGTCTTTAATACGATGCACGTGTATTTGATTCCTAGCGTATCAGAAATATTGATATGTAGCCACCAAAAGCTTTTCTATCATCCTGACATCATCCACTGTTGCTAAGGACTGAGACGATAGCAATAACTTGAACAAAAACAAATCATGAAATTTGAGCTGAATTTAGAACCGATCCATTTATTGTATCCACTCAGTGAATAAAAGTGTTGGTGGAAGTAATCCAGTAAATTGACCCCGAGAGTTGTGAGTTCAATCCCTGGCTACAGTAGAGGTGAACAAAAACTTGAAGAGACGAGTTACTAAAAGGAAATAACTGAAACCGAGATATCCAGAAAAGGGATGACACGTGAAACTATATATATATATATATATATATATATATATATATATAGTGTATATTTAGGCAGCAATATGCACAAATATTCTTAAATGCCCATAATTGATAACAGAAGCCATTGGTTTATACCAACGGTTTCCCATACTTAATACATCTTGTTTTCACTCTCGCGTGGTCATGTGTGACGTCACGAGCTACGACGCGATTTTCGCTTCCGCGTCTCGTATAGACGAGTTTGTCGTTGCTTTGAAATTGGGGTAGACTGTTCTAGTTCCACTGGCCATGTTTAACTAGAACAGTCTGCCCCAGTGAGCGAAATAAAGGGTTCAGTTCAACATTCCAACCACCTGAAGAAGGCCGGAGCGTACACCGACCGAAACGTTGTGATAAATATGGCGACAAAGATGAAGACAATAGTCCGAATAATGTAAATAGTGTACATAATACCTCATCTCAGAAATATAGACAGGTTTTGGGTATATATATTATTCAGGGATTCGTGATTTTTTATTTTATTTCATTTATTTATTTTTCTTATCAGGTTACGGTTCACGTGTAAAATCATTTTGAAGCTCTAAACTAGACAGACCTTTAATGTGCTGCGAATTATGTATAAACGGCAGATTTGTCATGATTCTGGTTTTTTTTTCCTTCTTTTTCTAGGTCAATGTATTCCTTCACACAATTGTCATGTTCATTTGTTCTTGTATTTTTGCTTTTCTCTTGCTGATGGGATACGTACATTTTATGCGTGTTTAATTAAAAGACAATAGAAAGACTGGGAGGGGCAAAATGATTGCTTCGCATTTCGCTAAAAAGAACAGTAATTCGCCGTAAAAAAGTAAAACAAAACAATAAGAGACAGAGAGAAGAAGCAATGAGAAAGAACAAGAAAAATACTGAAAAAAAATGTCTGCTCGTATCACTAATTAGCCCCCATTTTATGTGGTCTCATCGTTTTGGTGAGATAAATGCTTTCTAATGAGGACTAGGACGACTGGTAATTGTTCAATGAGTCTTGATTAATGTTCGAAATTATTGCTGAGAAAGAAAATTGCCCAAGACATCCTTCTGTTATCAATGTACAAAATAAAAACCTGGATATCAGTAAGCTTTCTAAAAACGAGACGTGATTTCGAGTTTACAAGGAGGTTACATAGAGCTAGATAAATGCGAAGAGGGTCGAAGAGAAAGAACTTCTTGTCGGCGCCGTGTTCTTTCAGGAGTTGGGTTATCATGGCTCTCCACATTACTTGTAGCTCCACCTTTTTTTAAGCAATTCACACCAAGCAAGGGGGAGTGCCACTAGCCCGAAAGGGGTTACAGAGGATTGAGAACAAGAGTAGAGAGTCGTGTATGCGGAAAGGATAAAGAGAAAGACGGGGAACAAGATCAAGGTATTAGAAGATGTCGGTTGACATTACACTTGAATATTTAAAGATTATAGTTATCATGGAAGCAAACATGAAGAGAGTTCTACAGACGGGAAGTGCGTGAGAAGAAGCTGTTTGAGTAGAAGACACATTTAAACGTTTCGACAGTGAAATGGTAGGACCGTGATGCCAGCCTAGTAGCTCGCTTAAATTCATGCAGTATGGGAACAAGTAAAGCTAGCTCGTCGGAAGAGTTACCGTGAAAATACTTGTAGAAGAGACGGAGGGAAGCCACAGCATGTCTGTCAGAAAGTGACTGTAGACGAGATGCCAGATCAGAGCCTATTACATTGCATATTCGTCTCTGGATTTTGCATCTTTGACCAAACTCGTACCTTCATTTCTGCTAAACATTCACACAATTTCGCCAGGTAGATTGCTCACTACCATTCCTTGTCACGTTTACGCACGATATGCCTTGTGAGTGTCATATACTCCAAACTCTACTTCCTCATATGTCAAAGAAACCTCTGCTGTCTATTTTTGATTCTGGCTGTTATTTTTCTTTCAATTTTCCTTAAGAATTCTAATTGCCAAAAGAATTCAAAGAATTCTAATTGCCAAAAGAATTCAAAGAATTCTAATTGCCAAAAGAATTCAAAGAATTCTACTTGCTTACAGGTTCCGTCCATGGAATTCTCAGTATTCTTCTGTAGAACGATATTTCTTTCGATTTCAGTTTTCTCTTCATCTGTGAAGAGAGTATCCAGCATCCACTGCCATACAAAAGGAATGATATTAAATAACAGTTCCACACTATTTCCTTTATTACTAACGAAATTTTACTATTTTTTTAATACTCTGCTTGGCCTTTTTGAATGTATCTTTCGCTAATAAAATTTGTGAGTTTCGATGACACATTTTCCGTCGTCTGTTAAAAAGCTTTCCAGATATTCACACTTCTGTATTTGTTTGATCCTGACAGCTAGAACTCGTAGTTTTAAGCTTTTTTCATTTACAGACAACAACAGTTTCTGTATTATTACAGAAACGTTGTTTTATATATATATATATATATATATATATATATATATAATAATGATACAATATTGTAATTTTATGGAATTTCGAAGAGTATATAGATCTAGGGAGAACTCTATGTAAAAAGACAGAGCAAAATTATTATTAATTAAAGAGTATCAAACCCTTAAAATCTTTTTATTTCATGAGATCTCTAAAAAAGTGTTGTAGATGGCGAACGAAAGTTTTTCTTCCTCCGTCTGAGTTCGAATCCTCGTCGTCAAGTGTTGTAGAGTGGTTTCACAGTGGAGGCTTGTATTTGTACTAAGTCGGTCCTAAAATAGGTTCGACGTACAAAACGTTAGGAACTTGATATAATTGGCAATGACACAGTAATCTAGTTGTGGTGGCTGATACTTTAATATCTAACTAACGGTCGTCCGACATCGACTGACTGACCAACGATATGTTGCATGTGGCACAAGGCCTGTTTAACGTGGGATCTCCGAGCCTGTGGTCTCGGTCAAAATTTTGACAATTGAACCCGTATAAACGGGCTCAGGGTCGGTTTACCTCCCCGAAAGAGAATCCGCCCTTCGGCATAGACTCGTTCGGGTCCCTCCCCGCCCGAAGACAGAGAGTTCAACCGATCAGCCAGTCGACTGACTGACCAACTCCCTGATCGACTCCTACTACTCCTACCAATTATAGGTGGAATATTAACTATAGAATAGGTGTGTTCTACTATAACAAAAAGCATCTCTCAATCTTCAAGACATACAAACAAAATCACGTGAGAAAGACACTATATTGGCTGCTTTTCTTTTATTACAACAGCCTCCAGAATTTTGAGTCTTACTTTGAACTTTGTTGTAATTTGTAATCCTGTGCGTTGTTACTAAACATTTTTACTACAACATTTTGGACTATCTATTATATGGCCATGTTCAAGTATATAATCTCCGAAGAAAGAGGAAAGTGTCTTCTTTTTAAATCTTATTTTTAAAAAAAATCAAAATGGCGCCAGAAAATGGCTGATCATTTACGGATAAAAAAGCACTAAAGACGGCTACAGAACAACATGCTTTGGCAACATCATCAACAACACAAATTGTTCGAAACAAAATCTTGTTCTGTTTTCATAAGTATCAAACTGTCTGGTCTTAGACATGACAATTTGATATGACAATGGGTTTTAAAGTGAGGGAATTGACAATGTGCGATTCTCAGACACACTCTACTTAGCATTCAGGCAAAAAATATATTGAAGCCTGAGGAAAGACAAGTGAAATTTCTATGTGTATTGATTAACATATTTCTTGTTAATTCAGATAAAGCAGCTAACTGAAAAAAAATCCCTGTTGGGAAGCAGAAAATCGACAAGAATTATTAGTAAAAGGGAAAGGTTGCCTCTATAAATGTGCTTTAATAGGAGCGAAAAATACAATAAACTAGAAGTCTAAAGATGAACTTAAAAATTATTTTCTATAAATTGATATATATATATATATATATATATATGTGTGTGTGTGTGTGTGTGTTTAAAGAGGCGCTGCTCGTATCGATCAAGGCTCCAGAGACTAGATAAAACTTTAATCAAGAAAATGGATTCGGAGTAATAAATATTTTCATAGATATTTTATGTCTTACCCACAGCTAATCCGAAGCGAACAATAAAAAGGCAGAAACGGAGAGAGAATTTTTGGTTTGACGGGTCAAGTAAAGAGTTGCTTTCTATAAAGTGTCCTCGAGCTGAACATTTACAGTCACTTAACAAAGTAATATACCTTCTCTCCCACCCACTCGATCTCACAATTTTCTTTTCGTCTTTCTCACTATCACTATTTCTTACTATCTCTTATATAGCTTATTCTATCTTTCTCTCTCTCTCATAACTTACTGTCTTTCTCTTTCAAACAAGCTTTCTCAGTCTTTCTCTCTCTCTGCTTTTTAATGGCCTCTCTCATAGATTACTTTGTATGTCTCTCTCTCGTTGCTTTCTAATTGCTCCCATCTCTCTCTCATGGCTTACGTATGATTTCTTTCTCTCTCGTCGCTTTCTCTTTCTCTCTCATAGCTTACTTTGTCTTTTAATCACTCGTTGCTTTCTGTCTCGCTCTCTCATAGCTTATATTGTATTTCTTTTCCCTCTCTCACTGCTTTCTCACCACCTTTCTCTTTGATCTACCATACTAACTCTCTCACTCGTTGCTTTCTCTTTCTCATTATCTCTCTCTGTTTTCTCCCTGTTTTTCTTGTCTCTTTCTCACTGCTTTCTCAGGATCTCTCTCTTCCACGTTCTCAATATCTTTCACTTCTTCTTTCCCCATTATTGTTCTCACTCTCTATATCCAACTACAATCTTTATCACACCCTCTCTTCGACTTTCTTACAATCTCTTTCTAAATATAACTATCAGTATCTCTCTTTCTCACTGCTTTCTCTTTATATTACCACTCTCTCTCTCTCCCATTGCTTTCTCTTTATCTTTCTCGCTATTTCTCACTCTCCCTTTATCACTATATTCTCTTTCTCAGTCTATTCATTTGACCGCTCTATCCACTTCAGTTATGAAAAATAACATTCATTCTTTAAGTCTTTCCTCTTTCTCTTTCCTTTCAATCTCTCTTTATTTTCATTCCTTTTCTCTCCAGATCTTCTCCATTTTTTTCTATTCCCATCTTTCCTCTCTCTCTCTCTTTCTCACTCTGTCTCTTCCCCTGCTCTCTTTTCTCCCTGATAGACTTTTTCCCGCCTTTCTTCTCTGATGTATTAACCTCGGATTGCTTATATTTACGAGCACCGATTGTCGATTCCACTCCACTTGAAAACTTTACATAAACTTGGCGAAAGCCCTTTACTGTTTATTTACACAGTTGCACAACAATACGCTCTTAAGTGCATTTACTGACAACTAACCACTTTTCATCACTGCTGGTCGACATGTTTACTAGCGGATTTCACCTTAAAATGTCAAATCATCTTTATTATTAAAATTCTAATATTTTTCTTGAATTCGATACAAGCAATCGCTGTTTCAAATATTATTTACACTCTGTCTATTGTCCTCCTATTTGTTGTTGTTATCATAACGTTTCGATTAATGTACCCTCCAGCTTTCATCAGGTAATTGCCAATACAAGTAATCTTCAGGGTATATTATTCGTTCTGATGTCCATGTCTATCTCACCGATATCTTCTTTAGTACTGTTAAGTTCTTTCTAGTTCTGTTTCCACTGAATCTTCACTGCCCAGCCCAGGGATTGAACTCATAATTACTAAACTACCAAATTTATAAAGCAACGCATTTATCCTATTGTTATATAAAAAGACACTATTCCGGAGAGATTACACTGAGCAGCAGCAACTTCTGTTTTTAGGAATTTGGTTTGATTGAAACAAATGAAATCATAAAGCGAGCACGTTTCACCGCATCATCCCCGACCCACAGATTCACGACAGGTATCCCAGAAACAGTTGGAAACGATTGCCAATCTACGAACAGATTAACTTACAATCTATGTACGCCGTACAACGAGTCTCTGGTGATCAAAACGCCCGACAAGGTCGCAAGACATGAATGCGAAGCCGTCCTTATTCACCGATCTTGATTTATACTTGCTAGATACAATAAGAATCAGTCAATTTTTTTTACTAGCGAATTTGCCCTTAAAATGACAAATCATCTTTATTATTAAATTTCTAACATTTCTTAAATTTGATACAAGCAATCGCTGTTTCGCACATTATTTACACTGGGACTATTGTCTTCATCTTTGTTATTATCGCAGCGTTTCGGCCTTCATCAGGTGTTTGTCGATTCAGTTAACCTTCAAGGAATTTCGAACTGAAACTTCTATTTAATCTACGAATGTATAGTCTTCGTTCCGCTGTCAATCTCACTTTGACCTTCTTTCGTACTTCTCAGTTCTTGCTAGTCATGCTTCCACTGACTCTTTACTACGACGTCCAGGAATTGGTTTGTTTTGGTTTACGGCATATCAACCTCAGTGGGTTATTTAATGCCAACAAGATTGTTATTGTTGGTAATATTTTTGTCTTCAAAAATTTATTGTTGGTAATAATTTTTTTACAAAGTATTTCTGGTATTAAAACATATTTTTACATTTTCATAGTGTTTTGACCCCAAGTTGAGTGGTTAACTATTTGTCCATAGCTGGGACCCTAACAGGTACTTCCACCCCGGGTCAAGGTGGACCCGAGAACACCAGCAATTAGGAGATGGTTCCTCGCTTCTCAAAACCTCCTGATCAGAGGGCTTGCTGTTAGAGAGGCAGTTTATCGTCTTACCTAAGGCGCGGATGTAGTTTATCGTCATACCCAGGAGGGTCCGGCGTTTAACCTCACAATTACCTTAGGAAGGGACAACTCATCACCGCAGGCTGAGGACTGAGACAACTCAGCACAAAAAAAAAAAAAACATAACTTTTTTTTTTATCTTCTATATAATAATAAAAATCTGAATAATGTCGGTGGTTGAGTGCTTAATGATTTAAGTTTCTTTCCAACTCACTCTTTCCAACTCTCTCCCAATCCTCTCTTTTCAACTCTTTTAATTCTCTTCCAACTTCTTTTCCAATTTTTCCAGTTCTCTCTTCCCACCCACTTTTCCAATTCTTTCTTTCCAGTTCTCTTCCCAACTCTTTCCAATTCTTTCTTTCCAGTTTCTTCCCAACCTCACTTCCCACTCCTTTCCTTTCCCAATTCTTTCCTTTTTTTTCTTCCTCTTCTTCCCACCTCACTCTTTCCAATTCTTTCTTTCAGTTCTCTCTTTCCTTTTTCCAATTCTTTCTTTCCAGTTCTCTCTTCCCACCTTCTTTCCAAGTTCTCTCTTTCCAATTCTTTTCTTTCCAGTTCTCTCTTTCCCACCTCAGTTCTCTCTTTTCTTTCCAATTCTTTCTTTCCAGTTCTCTCTTCCCACCTCACTCTTTCCAATTCTTTCTTTCCAGTTCTCTCTTCCCACCTCACTCTTTCCAATTCTTTCTTTCCAGTTCTCTCTTCCCACCTCACTCTTTCCAATTCTTTCTTTCCTCTTTCCCTTTCCAGTTTCTCTCTCCCCCTCCTCTTTCCAATTCTTTCTTTCCCCTTTTCACTCTTTTTCCAACCTTTCAGTTTCCAAGTTCCCTTCCCACCTCACTCTTTCCAATCCCTCTTTCCCACCAATTCTTTCCAATTCTTTCTTTCCAACCTCCTCCTCTCTTTCCAATCCAATTCTTTCTTTTCCCTCTTCCCCACCTTTCTTTCCACCTCTTCTTCTTTCCCCTCTCTTTCCCACCTCACTCTTTCCAATTCTTTCTTTCCAGTTCTCTCTTCCCACCTCACTCTTTCCAATTCTTTTTTTCCAGTTCTCTCTTCCCCACCTCACTCTTTCCTCTCTTTCCAATCTCTCTTCCCACCTCCTCTTTCCAATTCTTTCTTTTTCCTTCCCACCTCTCTTTTCCAATTCTTTCCAGTTCTCTCTTCCCACCTCACTCTTTCCAATTCTTTCTTTCCTCTCTCTTGATTACTTTCCAGTTCTCGCTTATTTATATTTCTTTTCCAATTCTTTCTTTCAGTTCTTTGAACTTTCCAATTCTTTCTTTCCAGTTCTCTCTTCCCCCTCACTCTTTCCAATTCTTTCTTTCCAGTTCTCTCTTCCCACCTCCTCTTTTTCTTCCAGTTCTTCTTCCCCACCTCTTTTCCAGTTCTCTTTCCTCTCTTCCCAACCTTCTCTTTTCCAATTCTTTCTTTCCAGTTCTCTTCCCACCTCACTCTTTTCCAATTCTTTTTCTTTCCAGTTTCTTTTCCCACCTCACTTTTTATTTCCAAAAAGTTCTCTCTTATTTTCAAGTTCTTTCTTTCCAATCACTCTTTCCAATTCTTTCTTTCCAGATTTTCCAAAATATTTTTTCCAGTTCTCTTCCCATATTATTTCCAAATATTCTTTTTTTCCAGTCCCCCAACTCTTTTATTTTTTCTTTCCAACCTCCTTCTTACATATTTTCCAAAGTTCTCTTCCCACCTCCTCTTTTTCCAATTCTTTTCTTTCCAGTTCTCTCTTCCCACCTCATATTCTAAGATTTCCAGTTCTTCCCACCTTTTTACAGTAAATAGTTTTTTTATTTCCAACTTTCTTCAAATAGACATTTTTTTTACTTTTGTTGAATCTTTCTTCTTTCCAGTTCTCTCTTCCCACCTCACTCTTTCCATTCTTTCTTTCCACTTCAACTCTTTCGGTCTTTCTTTCCAGTTCTCTCTTAGTTCTTTCTTTCCAGTTCTCTTCCCACTCTTTCCAATTCTTTTCTTTCCAGACCTCACTCTTTCCAATTCTTTCTTTCCAGTCAATTCTTTTACCAGTTCTCTTTTTGTCAATCTTCTTTCCAGTTCTTTCCAATCCCCTCTCTTCCAATCCCCTTTCCCCTCTCTTCCAATCCCCTTTCCAACCCTCTCTTTCCAACTTTGAATTCTCTTTTCCAATTCTTTTTTCAATTCTCTCTTTAATTTCCACCTCTCTTTTAAAACCTCTTTCTTTCCCCTCTCTCTTCCAATCCCTCTTTCCACCTCTCTTTTCACCTCTCTTTCCAATTCTTTTAAAACCTCACTCTTTCCAATGTGATTAGTGCGCGATTTCAGGTTTGAACAAACAATTATTTAAAAATATTTTCAAGTGAATATGATTTTAAAATATTTTTTGGCATATTAAGGAATATTTTCAAGTCAATCTTATTGAAATACATATTCTAAGATTAAAAGATACGAGTTCTTTTTACAGTAAATATTTTTATTTCAACTTTCTTCAAATAGACATTTTTTTTTTACTGTTGAAATCAACTTCAATACTTTATAACCTGAACCGTCAGTGATCTGTCGGGTCACGAGTAGCCCTACTAACTGAATATAAGTAATTTATTAAAGATTAAAACCTGAATGAGTGAACAGGTTTCTAATTATTTTAATAAAGTAAAGGAATTTATTTTTTTAATAAATTCAAAGTACAGTGTAACCCGGATATAAGAGAGTTGTCGGGGCCGGAGACGAAGTCTCTTATATCCGGGTTTCTCTTGTATCCGGGTTTGATCTATTTTATATACATTAACACAGGCTCTAATTTGGGACCAGAGAAAATCTCTTATATCCGGGTTTCTCTTATATCCGGGTTTGGTCTATTTTATATACATTAACACAGGCTCTAATTTGGGACCAGAGAAAATGTCTCTTAGATATCCGGGTTTCTCTTATATCCGGGTTTGGTCTATTTTATATACATTAACACAGGCTCTAATTTGGGACCAGAGAAAATCTCTCTTATATCCGGGTTTTTCTTATATCCGGGTTTGGTCTATTTTATATACATTAACACAGGCTCTAATTTGGGACCAGAGAAAATCTCTCTTATATCCGGGTTTCTCTTATATCCGGGTTTGGTCTATTTTATATACATTAACACAGGCTCTAATTTGGGACCAGAGAAAATCTCTCTTAGATCCGGGTTACACTGTATTAAGTAATTAAGGTTTTAATCATACTTATTATAAAATCCAGGTTGTGTGTGTGTGCGTCTGTACGTTTATATATTGGATCGAATTTCCTACATTTTTCAACCGATTTCAATAAAACCTCACTTTTTTTTTTTGGCAGGTAGTGTTTCTTATTGTCTTGCACACTTTTTTCTTTATTTTTACATTCAGAATGCTTTAAAAATTCCATTTACAAGACAATTGTTTATAATAAAATTCTATTCAATCGATAGACTCATAACGATTGAAAACGATGTTTTTGTTTGAGTTTGGGTTTGACCAATTCGTAAAAAAAAAAAAAAAAAAAACTAATGAAGACATGCGTGTCTTCTATATAATTATTATAAACAATAATCTTCGTCAATTTTATTTTTCAGTCTTTATGATGGTCGATACTTGATCTATCTCTTACTGTTACATCCCCGGGCAACGCCGGGCTCTACTGCTAGTCTTTAATAAATTCCTTTTATTTGGTTATAAAAAATTTATGTTTTTCTGGTGCTGAATTGTCTTGATGTTCAGTTGGCGGCGTTGCGTTGTTCTGTAACCCAATTCTTATGATATCGAATTCAAAATACAGAGTTTTTGTTTATTGTTATCTAAAACAGTGCTACTGAACGTGTGGTACGTGTACCGGTGCCAGTACCCGAGCCATCGTCTACCGGTACGCGGAAAGTTTCCAAGAAACAAAAAAAACAGTAGTCACAATCCATACCCAAGGAGACTGCCGGCATAGTAGACGCAGTTTTTTTTTTTTAATATTTTAATTTTAGCATTATATTGATAATGGCTACACTTTTCAATAACTCACTCATATGAAAAACCATTGCTATCCAAATAACGAATGCGGTATAATGAACAACAAAAGAGTGAAGTAAAATACGTATGACAATAATATCTTCATGATGTGACATGTGACTGTTTGGAGAACCACGCCTAAGAAAATTAATAGGCCCTTTTCATGGACATATATTTATAGAAAATCAATATTAAATAAAATAAAAAACTGATTCAGATTTTATTATATTAAATATATTTTTCTGATATAAATGAATAATACTACCAATGTTCAAATAATGTGTTCTTGGATCATTATTATATAATTATATGGCACAAATATGGGAAGAATTATGACTGGCCTGAGAATGAATAAGACATCATTTATTACAGGCGGGTATTTTTAAAACCAGAAAATATTTTTAGATGGTAAGAATTTTTTGAGATAATAATAATTTAGCAATACAAGTTCTACTAATTAATCCATAGTCGGGGAGAGAAAAAGTGAATTCATAATTTTCCAGAAGGCATTTGCACATGAGTGAATATAATAAACCCGACTGGAATTAGAACTCGGCTCTCGACCTCCATTTCTGAGCCGTTATCCATTACACCACCCGCACATCCAATCTCACAGCAACTGGTATTCGGAAACGGTCACCTAACTAAATACTGTCCAGGCTCAAGGTTTCTTAACTTCGATAATCGCACGAAAGCCGAGAAAAATGTAGAGGGCATTACGTAAGGGTTCAAATGTCAAAAGTAGCAGCGAATGTGTTTATAAATTTCATCTTATTCATCTAAAGCGAAGTGTAGTTTTATATTGCAAATTCTAAAGTTGATTCAAACAAATCTTAGACAAGAGTAAAGATTGAAATGTTCAAGATAGTTGTCGAAGAGTAAAGAATTTGTTCTCCGACAGAATCTTACATTGTTCTGCTTTTAAAATCAACCATTCCTCAAGAGCAGACAGATCTGTTCAACATGATGATAGTACTCCGTATTATTTCGAACGAGATCTGAACTCCCTTTAATATTAAAATTGCCAGGAATTCGACCGTTTTTTTCCCTTCTGCTTCGTTTGTGATCGATCTTGTCATGATCGCTGGTGGATACGTGCGACAGCTATTTATGGAGATTTTATTGTACAAAAAATGGCAACCAATGTTTGTTTCATTTCATTTGAGGCGAAGAGAGAAAGTTGGGAGACAAGTTATTATTAAATAGAATGTTTGATTTCTCTCAAAAGAAAAAAGAAAACCCAATAAGACGCCGATAAAACAGAAAAAAAATATTTCAGAAAAGAACGAAGAAAGAAAGTTCTAATTGGAGAATTGGTAATTCTGTCATACTAGAAGAACGCCGGAGTTTAGTAATTGGTTCCAGTTTTTCTTTTAATATTCTTGAAGAAGTAACCAACTTTTTTTTTCATATTAGTATTTATTAATTTCACGTTAGTATGGCACAAGTCCAAAGTGAAAGGGCGTTAAAACAGAAGACAGGTCTAGCATCACCTTCCTAAGTGAAAATTGATCCACTGCCTTGAAAATCAACAATAGAAATCTTGACTTTGTACCGGGGCTCGGACACGGAAATTACCACACAAAAATCACAACAGGCTCCGAAATCATGAGAGAGAGAGAGAGCTTCGACGTAGTAATGGTTAACAGGCTTCTCTCGCTAGATCAATTATGACTGATTAGTCAATTCGATCATCACTGGGTGCTTCATAATTTAGACCTTGTGCTTAGCTTAGTAAATCTCTCTCGTATATATATATATATATATATATATATATATATATATTTTTAAAGCAAAAAAACAAAAATTACCTCAACATAGGTATAGTCTATTTTTAACCGTTCTTCACACGGCTATCGTCAGCCTCTTGAAGAGCGGTTTGAAATAGACTGTACCTATGTTCAGGTAATGTTTTTGTTTTTTGCTGTAAAAATACATATGCTCTGTTAGAATAAAAAAAAACAAAACAAACATCGAGCTCTATGTGAATCAGTTCTAATAATATTACTAGGATCCACCAGGATTATATACCGACTGATCGATTACCTGTACTATATATATATATATATATATATATATATATATATATATATATATATATATAATATTAAAATGAAATAACTGTGAGATTAATAATCCAATTATCATTTAATTTTTTAAACGTGCTCGATACAAAATATAGCATAATATAATATAACATAATAATTTCTGTGTTGCGATGAAAACGTACACACGCTTATATATATATATATATATGCGGGGTACTTATTGGAAAGTCCTCAATATCAATAATAAAGTTAACATATTAATTTGTATGGATATGAGTGTCTGTGTTAATAAGAGTGTCATCGCAAAACGGACTCAGAGGAGGATTCGCACCTCCCAGCAACGAACATAATCAAACACAACAACAATAAATAGATTCAGTTTAAAAAAAATAAAACTTTTTGATGATTATAAAAGCGCGAAATCCAGGGCCACAAACTCATATCCATACAACTCACATCTATCCAACCAAATATGTTAGCTCTATCTCTGATATTGAGCGCTTTCTAATAAGTCCCGTGCATATAATATATAAATAATTATACATATATATATTTATTTATATTTATATACACTTTTCACACACACACACATATATATATATATATATACGGGGTAGGATATCTGGCTGTTGTCAAATCTGTCGGGTTTCGATCCCGGCTTGAAGCAATCGGACGTCTAGCCCTCTGAATAGCTGTAAAACAGCGAAACAATCGTCTTTGATGACAATCTCTTTCTATCTCTCTCTCTCTCTCTCTCTCTCTCTCTCTATATATATATATATATATATATATATATATATATATATAAAGGATTTGGGACAATGGAATGCTTTGGACAGTTTTTGTACTCCTTCACTACCACCAAACGGGAACCTAAGAGCGCTGGAAAAGAAACTAAATAAAAAAAAAACTTCTTTGTCCGTAATATTTAACGAAATATCTTTCTGTGCAAATAGGTGTGTTTTATGATGTCAACGAACTCTCGTTGCCACTTTTATGATGCAGAAGAGACTTTGTAATCATAGATACAACTATAGTAACACCGTTGAATAGTTAGCATGAAAATATTTATAGAAACTTCAAAGGAAAATTACGGCGGTAGGAAAGTAACTGAAGCCGAGATGACATGTTAGGGCGGATGACAGTTTCGTAATCCTCGTTGTAGTAGAGACTTTGTAATCGCCATTGAACAATGCTGGTGTCAGAATATCAGTTGCACTGATAGTACTTGCTCAATAATAATCATTTGAACAGTAA